CGCATTCCTCATCGCATACTTCTCGAATCTCGGTCGCAAAGAACATAGCCCGAGGCCAACCAACAAGCATTCCACGCTTGGCCTCTCTGGCAGAGGAAAAGGCACACTCGCAGTGGGGGCCTTAATGGAATCCTTTGAACCTAGTCCTGGAATCAGCACTTCCCATCATAGGTATTCTCTGAACCATCAGAGACTCGCTTCAAGGCCACCATTGCTACTTCAGAGACCTCAATCTCCGAAACACTGGCTCTTGTTATGATTATTATTGTTTTAGGACATCAAAGGAATCGAAGGCCAACTTCACTCACAATTGAGCAACCATCGCTCTGTCGAATTCCTGCTTCAGACGGCCATGTTCAGAGCTGGCTTTATCCATACGGATGTGATTCTCATGAAGCTCTACGCCGAGTTCCTGAGCGTAATTGAGAGTGTAACTGTCAACGAAAAAAGAAGTTTTCATCGAATACCTGGACATGGGTTGTCAACTGCTCCTCTTCACGAGCTTCGTCTTCCAAACTTTTCTCGATATCCTTCATTTGCTCGTCAGTGTCGTCAATCTGACGAGTTATGTGCCGTACTTCTCGACGAAGAAAAGTGTCGCGTTCTTCTGCAGATTTGAATTGGTCCCTGAATGGAGGTGGAACAGCTTTTCAAGAGATTGCAACTTTCTCCGCATTCGGAGCAAAACATAGTTTTTCAAGTTTCTTGAAGTGAGGATCAGTGAGCTACTGGTGAAGATAAAACGTACTTGTGGCCCTGCTTTGCAAACAGTTCTTTAGATTTCATTTCTGCAATACGAATATCGGAAGACAGAGCCGCCTCCTTTTCTACGAGTTCCTTGAAAGAAGGAAATCAAGTAATCAAGGTGAAGCAACAGACTCACTTAAACTCAACACACCTGATATTTGGGACTAATTCGTTCCAGCTCTTCTTCTTTTTCACGAATTTCAGCTTTCACCTGATTAAGAACATCTTCCGCCTTATTGCGACCGCTCTTTTCTCTGAAAGTCTCTAACTGTTTAAGAAAGAAAAGAAACGGCGTATAAACACAGCACTGACTTTTCCACATCTTCTTTTAAGTCGTTTATCAACAACTCCAGCTCCGCTTTCTTCTCAAAACGCTGTGCTTGCTCAACAACGAGCGCTTCCTGAATAAACCTGCTTTAGAAACACGTAGTGAAAGAACAAACAACTGAACAATGAAACTAAATCAAATCGTGACCTTATAGGCATCCGTTCAGACTTCGCGATGACGCGCGTCGACGCGCTACTATTGCAGCCCTTTTTCGGTGCAATAGACGGGAATGCAGCCAAAGACGGGCATCGATCGGCTCCGGCCACTACTGTTTTGAGAGGGTGTGAGAGTAAAGTTTTGTTGGAGGAAGGGAGGGTATGCGTCACCTAACCAGTATGTCTAGCACTCTCCTGTTCTTCTACACTCCATCGTATATTAATGAAAGGCACCGATCGTTATCTTCCTATGGCTGCGCTCTCTTCCACAGCACTGGAGGGCTACTGCAACAGCGGCGCAACGAGACGCGTCATCGCAGAGTCTGAACGCTGCTTTAAATGCCACGGACCGCACCCACGAAATAAACTGCAAGGCAGCTGCAGATTAACAGTAGCTACAATAGTTTTCTCACAAACTCGCCTTTTCCTCCTTCATTCCCTTGAAACGAGACTCCAGTTTCCGTTGTTCCGCACCTGCCCTTACACCTCGAGCTTGCACTTCCACCAACTCGCTGCTAACCTTGAACAACTCCATTGAGTACTGGAACAGCTACCATAGCCGACATTTATGTACCTTTGTTTGACGAGTGCTGAGCTCTTCACGTTGGTCAAGCAACCGCTCCAACTTCTTTCTGGTTTCATTAGCCTCAGTATCGTAAATTGTGTATTCAATCGACCTTTTCATTTTATCCCATTTCTGGTATTCCTTCAGATCTTCTTTCTCCTCTTCTAGGGTTTTTAAGCGTTCATCGATATACGACAACAAGGTCTCAATTTTCGTTGTTTTGTTATCTGAACTTGGGAGCGTTTTTCATTGTTCACGTTTAC